GGGAAAGAATTTGACTCCAGGGATGTGAGCCACATGAAAATTTTAATGACAAGGAGAAAATATGAGTTTAATGTACCGAAGTCCAAACCTTCTGTAAGCTAGTCTGTAAGCTTCTGTAAGCTGAATCAGTTGCTAAACAAAAATCTTCATTTCATTTCTCTAGTGTAGTCTACTCCTCTTTTTTATCTGGGTAATCAAGCTTCCTAGGAAGTGCCTGCTTTGTGCTAACAAAAGGCCTATATTCTTTGTCAGGCCTCAGAGGAGACCTAGACCTTTTCTACCTGCTGATCAGAAATCCAATAGAAATCCCTGCATGTTATTCCCAAGACGCCACTTTATAGTTCTTATAATATCAAATTAATTTCCCTAGCTCTAAAATGAATAAGCTATCTCCTTATTGACTAAGGCACACTTTGTCACAATTTGGGGTCTGATTACCCCTACATTGTGACTAAAGCAGTAAATGTCACGTTATTAAAGTGCTGGTACAGTTCTGGAAATTACTTGGTGTTTCCCTATAATAATTAGTATGTCAACAGTTAAAGCTAGCAGGGTGGGTAAGCCAAGACCCATATTCCAGGGGATCTACCCTCTGCAAATGGAGTGGCTGGAGAAAGAGAGAACCGCTGCAGGTGAGTTAATTCGTAACCTGTTCCACTGAAGCAGCTGAACCTGGTACCAACTAGAGGTAAGGCACTAATGCAGAGAGACCAGCGGTCTGCTCAGGTACAGCTGTCCTGTTCCACAGAGGCTCATCCTCACTTAGCAGATGGAAGTCTGCAAGACTCTTGCTATATCTAAAAACACGAGGCCCAATCTGAGTCCCATTGCCAGTCCCACTGACCAGAAGGGGAGGTGGCCCAGACCTTAAAAAAAAAAATCACATCTGGTCCTTAGGATACCCCTGCTTAAGAGTGATTCATTAAAGCTGCACTGCAGAGTGGCTTCTTCACATCTCTCCACTTATTCCCCAGCCCCCACAGCACACTGTGCAAGGTCATCTTTCGCTTGTGAGAGTTTAGGCTCAAGAATGCACCTTCTCAAGAATGCAAGGAAAGAATTAAAGCACCGTAATTCAGCACGTGATTCAGGCCTAAAAGGAAAGTGAGACTTACAGGTACCTGACTTGATAGACTCAGGTTTGCAGCAGCTGACTTTTTCTTGCTGTTGGTACTATTTGCGTTGTTCCCAGCACTGCTGTTGGAAGTGCTGCTGGTAGAGTTTTTCCTTTTTCTCCGTTTGGTTGTCGGTTGTCTTGTGGGTTCTGCTGCAATAAAATGGGAAGAAGAAAAGCAAATGGCAGATACTGTAAAATGTGTACTAAAATGATCCATAAGCAAAAGTGCTGAAATGTTTTAAATTCCTGTGTTTTCTAGTAGTAGTGGCAGCAGCATAGTATTAGATTTAGCATATGAACCACAGAATAATATTTGGACACAAACCAGTGGAATCTGCTTTCAATTTTGTATAATGGAGTAATGAAGCTTATTCTCCCAGCATTATCTATAAAGATCTTTGAAAGTGTTTTACGAATGGGAGTATCAAGATAACTGTCATGATGCCCCAAGTGACCGTGTAACTTGGTGATGGTCACACAGCAAGCAACAGTGCTAAACAAAAATCCAGGTCTTATTCTGATGTAGGGTACAGCCTCGACTAACCCAACCAGAAAATAAGGCTAAAGGTACCTTTCTACCCTGCTGCTGCCATCGACGTGGCATATGAACAACTACCACTGCTGTTCCTTCTGCCTCTGATGTGGGCTTCATCTTTAAAACTGCCACTCCCAAGAGAACATGTTAGAGAGTGCTGAATGCCATTTCTCTGCGAGTCTTCCAAACTCAGACTGAATCGGGACAATTACATAACTTTCCTTAACTTGGCAAAGAACAGAGAGGCAATTGTATTTTTCGAAATTTGGCCTGGGCACCCATGGGAATAGTCTTAGATATACAAATCTTTAATAATCTGAAAAAAGGGAGAATTACTATTTTGAGGTGTAAGAGGAAGGAGATTAGGTCCAGGCCTGTAAATAACATTATATTAGTCTCAAAGACAATTAATTATCAATTGTAGCTGTAATTTCAGAGTCACAGCAGGAAGCTGAATTACACAAACGATGAATTCTAATGGAGCCAGTAGGCATTTTGCATTCCATCTACACATATTTTTGTACTAAATTATATCCTAGTCCTATCGAAACCATCTGAATGTGCACATCTATAAATCAGTTGGGTCAGACTGAAATCATAAAACATCAGAATCATTTTCAGGCTTACTTTTGGAACTGTGCTAATTCTTATTTCTTTCTTTTGTAAGTAAATTTGCAGTAAATTTTCCCATTGTTTGTATATTAATTTCACTATAAAATGAGTAAAATACTGGAAATGAAACATACCTGGTGGGGCCACCATTCTCTGCCATTTTTGAAACAAGCAAGTCTTCAAGCAGTCTCGAGGACTTAGATTGTAAGTTTTATGTCTTGACATCAGTTCCTGCATTGGCTCCAGTATTACACACAACTAGAAAAAAAAGTCAGAACAGAATTATTTCACCCAAGCAAAGACTCAGTTGATCAGTATTTACATAGCTGGAAAGTATATTCTTGGCAGTTTTTTTTGCCCTTGCTAACAGAGTATGCTTTATACAGCTCAGTTTAACCTGCACTGGGATTGTAGGATCTAAACTCTGAATTGAGAAAGCTTTTGCTCACTATTTACTATCTTCAGTATTTAAAAAAATCAGATAAACTTCAACTCTGGTCTTCCAGACTACAGAGATTTCAGAAGAGTAGAAAATTTTCATGCTTGATTGCCAAAGCTGCAAAGATGAATTAATAAATAATAAAATGCCCATAGTGGGTTATCATTCCCACATAGCAAAATGTACATGCGGTGATCTTCTGACCTGCTGCACTCCACAATGAAGACTTCTCATAAATGGGGGTTGTAAACATGATCTTTTATCTTGCTATTGCATACAAAATGATTCATATAATTTTGTCCGTTTCTTGTTGCGAGGGCTATTGCCCTGGTTTGAGCTAAATAGAACTAATTATTTCTATTTAGTGATTTTACTTTTCAGCTCAGTCTCTTTTAAGTGGCTGAACTTGCTGAAAACTGGCAGCATGTTTTCCCAAACAGTGGTGCCAGACGATATGCTCAAGGTCAGTTGTCTCATCGTGGGTGCTGTGTCTGTGCCTACGGGGGGAAAAGCGGACCCAAAACGGACCAACGAGGTATTCCATCCCATGTAAGTCATACTCTGTATAAAAACCGAGAGATCACAAGGGTCTTGATCCTTTTCACCCTTCTTCCATCTTGGAGCCCTTCCATCTCGGACTTCTGTCCATCTCGATCCTGCAGAGGCCAAGGCCTGAGCGGAACCCTGCTCGTTCGTCTGCCACTGATCCTGATTCGTGTGTCCTGCATCCTGCTCCCACCTGCTGCTGAGTTCAGTCTGGGACTTTCCCAGTGCCCAGCTCCGCAGAGCCTCTGGTGACGTATTCATCACTGGGGGGAGGGTGGGGGAAGGATTTTATCTTGGTTTTGTATATATTTGTACATATTTGTATATATTTCATTATTTTCCTGTTTACATTACTATCCTGTAGTATTAGTATTATTGTTTCATTAAACCTGTTAGTTTTATTTTCCAGCTCATAAAGTCTCTCTCTTATTCTCTTTTCTCTTCCCTTCTGGGGAGGTGAGAGGGTTTAATAGCGAGCGTCTGTCCAGGCTTTAGTGGCTGGCCCAGCCCTAAACCACGACAGCTATACATTCTCTTTGCATCACAGGAATGACATGTCCGAGAAAAGAGAAGCACTTTATGTTCCTTGCCAGCTCGAATGCTCTATTATGTCAAAGCTAGAGATTTCTAAAAACATGGAATTTCAAGCAAACACCTTTTTTTAAAATAGAGTCTTATGTATTTTCTATCTGTTCACTTCATAATTAAAATCACTGTTCACTGCATTTTGCTCCTGTTAGCACAGCAGATCTAGCATGAAGCACACAGCGAGCTGGTTTCTATTCCCTCCTGTTTATTATCACAGAATCATTTCCAGTCAGTTAAACCTTACACAAAGCCACAGAAGACTACAGAATCGCACACATGTAATTGAGGGCTTAGTCATGCTGGCAGGATCCTTGTTTCTTGGTCGTCCTACAACATGACAAGAAAAAAATCCAGGTTGACCCTTAGGTTCCACCTGAAACTTGTAGGGCTGGCACATAGGAGGAAAATGTTCCTTACTTTCTAACTGAGTACATTTGCTTAGGAAATAGCTGACACAGAATAAACATGGAGCCTGTATGCCATTTTTAGTCACTTTCCAAAGCAGAACTGCATTTAGAAGTACGAGAAGGTTTGACTTTTTTTTTTGCCAACAGAAGGCAACAAGTTGTGCAAATTATTAGAAGTTAGAATGGCAACTGCAAAAAGGCACAACTTAAGCTGAGTCTTGTTTTGAGTTGTTTGTTTAATTTTAGCAAGTCTTGCTGAAGAAGCATCTTGGATTTACTTCAGCAGATTATTTTTTCCTTCCATGCTTTTACAAATATATAAGACATGAGGCAAATTCTTCTCTCTGGGCTGCAGAGCTCGTCAGTCTTTGCTCCATTCTCCCCATGTGCACCCCACACTCATTCATGTAAATGGAGATGTAAAGTAGGCAGGGAAAATAGCTGAAAAGGAGCTGCCATGAGGACTGAGAGATTAATTCAGCATTTAAATATTATTGTGTATTAGCACTGCCTTTCATTAACAGCAGTTAAAACAGAGATAACAAAAAGCAGCAGGGAGAATGATGAGCTTCAGTATGAAGAATTATTTTTCTCCAACTGCAGAAATTGAATCTGCAGTTGCCACATTGACTTCTTTCTTACACAGTCTTTTTACATATATTTTTGTAGATAAATATCTGCAAGGTAATTTAATAGACAGAAAGCTGCTATCAGATGATGCACTTTGGGCTTAGATTTTCCACTGGTTCAATATTCTACCAAAAGTTAAGAGCATCAGGTCCTAAAATATGTGCAGGAACCAGATTATGCTGTGAAAGAGGTGTTGTATTTTGAGTTCTTATTCAATTTATTCTGAAACCTGCAGGCACTTGCTCAGGTTTTGTGTGTGTGAGAGCGAGCGAGATTTGTGCTCATAGTTGACATCGTTGCTGTGGTTCTCAAAAGTCTGGGTTTCTGGCAGGGCTGCCTAAATTGTCTCATTATAAGCAGATAGTAACTAGCATGAAAAAGATAGCTGTGATAATTCTTAACGAACTAGTTAGCCTGGGCAGAGCACTACACTCACATAGCTCAACTGCTGCTGGGACTGAAACTATGTAAATAGACATGTAGGGTCTTCCAAGATTTCCTCAGGGACATTTTATTCATGACATATTTACTCCTCCATATATATTTATTGTTGGCAACAAAGACAATGTTGCTACTTTATCATCTGGCAAAGATGTTTCCTATTGTGCACTAACTGTAATGCGCACTGAGGAGAACTACACAGTCCTTGCTGCCTGTAGGTATCTTGACTGCTAATCCTGTCCATAATCTCTCACTTCATACACAAAATTAAAACCAGATACGGGCCCAAAATGTAGCAATGGGCTCAGAATGACTGTGACATGGGACAGTCTCATCTCCTGGATACTTAGGAGCCGTATGGACCTGCATTAATTCCACTTCTGGTTCTGGGACTGGTGAATTCTCAAACATTTTCTCCCTCTAAAGTCTGCAAATTGTAAAGTCAGCTTTGGAGGCCTGAGTAATAGGAAAGCATTGCACTCTGTAGTGACAAGTACATTTTAAATGTGTCTAACTCACGTGAATTGGGCACAAATGTAAACCGAACTGAATTAACAATGATTGATATTAAATCTCACAGTCTTTTTCCATGACCTTTGAGACATACTTAAAATCTAAAGTGATTCAAAACCAAATCCTTGAAAGAGGAAAAGATTGTGCTCCAATTATCTTATGTCTGAGGAACCTGCCAGTGACAATCAGTAGCTTGGTTTTTGCAAAAAAGCTAGATTAAAAATGTGGGGACAAGATGCATTTAGAAGCTAGGTTGGCCAAAACCACCTGCTGTCTTTAACTGCTAGAGAGCAGGGTAACTGGCAGGCTGGTCTGACTGCATCATTTTACAGAATGACTTCTTAAAACAAAGCTAACGAAATATTTTTACCTACTCCTACATTCATGGCATATATAGGAAGCCCGAGGCTTAGACTGCCTTTTCCCCACAGATCACCTAATCTCACTCTGTAAGATTCCTTTTCTAAACATCTATTTTAACAGTTTTTCAAGCATTGGATAATACTAAAATGTACAAGTCTTTATGCTAGTACTATAATAATAATATTTAGAACACCAACGAAACCAATATTTTCTACAAGCACAGCTCAGAATCAGTCATCCAGGAAAACACCCTAGAGACTTAAAAGACCTTAGTGCAGTGTTGATGTATGATCATAGAAATAACTTCTACATTTCTAGGAACTCAGAACCTTTAATGGCAATGCTTGACAAGGCACACTTAGACAATTCCAAGCTCCATGTTTAGACAACACAAAAGGTGGGACTCATTTGCCCGCACATAGGTGTCTAGCGCCAGTTGAAATGCCCTAGGTTGTGCTGGATCTGATCCATCTAATCTCTTGCTGTCCCAGAACGACACAAGGCTCTATGTGGATGTTTCAGACACTGGAAGGTGTCTTAAATGTGTGGGCAATTGAATGAAGCCCAAAGTTAAAAGGAAAATTATGCTGCTTTTAGCTTTTAAAACATATTTGGAAGAATGTGTATCAAAACAGATTACACACTTTCCCTCTGCAGCACTAAAACGTACAGAAAGAACTCCACATGATGCTTAGTAACCCAGTATTAGTAAAATTAGTTTCCAGTCATGTTTTCGTATTTTAACTCATCACAATGATGCGTGACCTCTGCTACAGATCCATTGCTGTTTCACTGTGGATAGATGTGAGCTAGAGCCAGAGATGAACACAGCACTTTACAGTGAGAGAAGTCATCAGAATCAAAAGTTTATACCTGTGGGTGCCCAGCACACACTGGGACACATGCACGCATTTTTGCACTGTATAGAGTATCAGTGATGTTGCTAGAGTTTGATATGGATCCTACAGACAATTCATCAATTACAGGGCTTGGATCCAACTTGAGAAAATGGTAATGTTATACCCTTGGGGCTCAGGGAAGTGAAAGTAGGGAACATAACAAAGCATAGGGTTTTTTTGTGTTAGTAAAACACATCTGGAAGGATTTATTTTATTTTAATGACTTTTTTTTTTAGAGGAAAAGACTAGGATTTATAGGTTTCAAAAAACAGTGTTTTAAGAAGAGAGTTATATGAGGAGATACTGGAGGCACCGCAGACAGGAGGTAGAGGGGTCTGAGAATATGGAGTCACATGTAATTTCCTGTAGTACTTCAGTTATCAACAAAGCCAAAATTTGCCTTCATAGGTAAGGGGTCAGATTCAGCTCTGA